TCATTGGCTCTAGTGGATGTGCTCCTTGCTCCCAGATCCTCATTTCACTTCACCAGCACCCTGGAACCTCTGACTGGCCCGGGGACTACACACATGCTTTGGGGAGAAGGGGTTGATCCTTTTTATTGTTGTTGTTGTGTGTGTGGTGCTGAGGATTGAACCCAGGGCCTTGTGCATGCAAGGCAAGCACTCTACCAACTGAGCTACATCCCCAGCCCAGGAGTTGATTTTTGATGCAGAGAACAAAAGTGATTTTTAAGTTCAATAGCATATCAGGAGGCTTTTCATTACTGTAACAAAATACCTGAGGCAATATAAAGGAAAAACAGTTTATCTTGGCTTCTGATTCTGGAAGATGAGATTCTGGAGGTGTCAATCCAAGATCAGGCAGCCCCATTGCTCTGGGCCTCTTGGGGAAGCAGCACATCACTGTGGGAACACACAGTGGAAAAAAACCCCTTCCATCACAGAACTAAGAAGCAGAAAAAGACTGAGATGGGACTCCTACAGTCACCACCCTGTAGATCAAGACTTTAACACATGGACTCCCAGGGGATGCTTATCCATGTCATAACCAGCTCAGGTGTAAATCATTCCTGCAGAATGAGCTTGTTTTTGTCCTCAGACTAGTAGAGAATTCCAAGAGCTGGAACAAGCAGAATGAATGTGTAAATGTAGACCCTGTTGGAGCCAGGACCTGAGTCGGCGGCACCTCCTCTGCTACCAAGCCAACAGGGAGCCTGGTGACCAGCCACCAACCTGCAGGAAGGGCTCCTCTGGGCTCCATGTGCACTTTGGATCCAGAACTGTGGACAGTCTCCATGTCAATGCTACCTGCCCAGGGGGCTGGGAGCAGCCTGCCTCCCAGAAGGAGCCAGGTGGGGCCCCCAGGGCTACCGAGACAGAAGCCCCCCACTTCCCAGTCAGCTCTCTAGATACATTTTTGAAACTCTCCTTCACATTACTGGATTAAGTAGCTTCTTAGAGAATTTGTGAAAATTGAAACTCTGGGATAATTGTTGATTTTTTGATATGACTTAAACTGTTCAGGAATTTCACCTGATTTTTTTTCCTGACAAAAATTTTAAAAACTCTTTCTTTAATAATAAATTAAGATTTTAAAAAGAAAATAAAGTTAAGGAGTCCTGAAGGATATTTTTCTTTGCAGTCAACCAAAGATCAAGAAGACTATTTTTCTCCAGTTCTTCTATACGGCTTCCCTCATCTTCAGGGCCTGGTACCTGGCACATTAGTAGCAGATGCAAGATAAAATCTTTTTGGAATAATGAGAGGAGACACATTAATCCACATTTGGAAAGAATCCTAAAGAGGCCAGCAGCATAAGCAAAAAATATTTATTTACTCCTTAGATATTTTTGCAGAAAATCCATTCTTCTGGCTTCATCTCAGCAGGTGATGGCAGAGGCCAGAGGGCCACACAGCACCACGGAGGGTGGGGAGGCGGAGGATGCACCTGGCCTCAGGCTGTCCCCAGAGCCCTGGAGAAGCCACTGGCTGGCGGGAGTGGAGCCTTCCTGGAGAGCAGCACCTTGCTGGCCGGGTCAGGACAGGCTGGGCCAGGGCAACAAGCAGCCATCGGAGCCCGGCGACTCTACAGGAATCCATTTCTCGCCCTTGTCATCCCCCAGTGCCACCACTAGGCCATCCCCTGGGAAGCCACCTCCCCTCTGCAGCCCACAGAGGACCTCCCAACTGCCCAGGCTGCAGCACCAGGGCCAGAGCAAGTGGACCGTTACATGGGTCAGTTCTCAGGGACACGTCTGAGAGTGGCCTCTCCAGCCTACACCCTGTGGGCACAGGCTCTCTGGAGGCCCACCTCCCTGGAGGCTGGGAGACTGGGAAGTGTGGAGAACAGGTGGCCCTGTGGCGTCCGGGGAGTGGGGAGGTGGCACAAGGGGAACTAGCACCAGCAAAGGCAAGTTCACACCGGGTCCCCAGGGCCTGCGGCTGGGTGTGGACAGTCCTGCTGGTCATCGGTGGCAAGTGGAAAGATGGTGGTGAGTCCAGAGCCAACCATGGCAGCACCAGCACACATGCCCCTGAGTCAGCTGAGACACTCTTTTTGCATATGTCACGTCCATGATAAATGGGCATCCGAAGGGTCTCCAGAACAGGGCCAGCGGTCCTGTGTGTGCTGAAGCTCATGCCTCTGGAAGGGCACCAGCTTGAGCTCCTGCAGGGCACGGCCTCCTCCACAGCCCTCTCACCTACCAGACGGGGAAGGGAGGGACAAAGGCCCTGGCTCTCTCTGCACAGTGGGATCCACAGCCAACTGTGGTGGTGGGGGGATGCTTCCCTCCCCTTCCCTCAAGGGAGGACCACCTACCTTGCAACCCACTGTCCATCGTCTTTGGAGTGGGGCCGAGGCCCTTGGACCAACGTCCTAGCCAAGAAGCCCAGTCCCTGGGGACACTCGTCTACTCATTGCCGGTGGCTGTCATAGCACCATAGCCACCCACTGCCCCCAGCCTCCAGCCTCCAAACCCCAGCCCAGGGCCTGCGGCCACTGCTGAATCTGCCATTAGCTCTGGCGGGGGACTGGCTGGTTCCTCTGTCGTGGGTCTTCAGACTTACCAGATAACCACCTCTGGGTGTCACCTCTACAGGTGTGTCCAGCTGGGGGCAGGGGCAGCAAAGTCTGTAAATCAAAATATAACTCCGTTTGCTTTCGAGACTCCAGGAGCTGGAGGGCTTCCCCTGAGGGGCCCCAGAAGCTTCTCCCTCCCTTTTTTCAAGAAGTGGGCCCCTTTTCTCCAAGCTGACCAGCATGCTCAGTCCCTTGTCACTCAGAGGTGGCCCCTCAGCTCTGAGCCATGGCCAGCTGTCAGGTTGAAGCGGGTGGAGAAGGACATCAGCCAAACGCTGAGCAGGGAGACAGTGCAGGAATGTCATCCTGCGTCCCTGCCTCTGAATTCCATCTGATACACTTTCTTTTTTTTATAGAAAGGGGAGCAGGGGCAAAAGGCAGAAAGTCAGGGCAGGTGGCTCCAGACGGGTCCCAAAGCAGCCTTCTGTAATAGCCACTCTGCTGTGAAGGACACCAGCTCCTGGAGGAGGAGGACAGGGAGGTGGAAGTCCCGTATCTCTCTGCTGTGTCCCCTGGGTACTTGTTCGGCCTTCTGCAGATACACAGCTGGGTGAATACCCATCTAACGGCAGCCCATGCCCACCTTGGGGCTTGTGTGCTCTCCTGTCACCCGATTTGGGAGGCCAGCCCCTTTTCCCAGGCTCTCTCCCCCAGGTTGTCAGCCCGATGCCCTGGCTTGTGTAAATGGTGAGCCACCGGCCAGTCAGACCTCCCTGAACACCTGTGAGTGAGGCAAGACGGCTTCCTGGAGAGCAGGTGGGACCAGGAGCCCGAGGTCCAGGACGCACCACGTGCACCTGTGCCTGCTGAGTTCTGGGCCCTCCCACCCCAGGCAGCAGCAGGGTCCACCTGGAAGGACTCAGGCCGGCTCTCATGGACTCCCCTGCACTTCTTCCTGGCGACATCATAAGTGCTGGTGTTCAGGTGACTGGTGAGAGTGGAAGGCCAGCCAAGGCACCCTGCAGGATGCCCCCGAGCCAGCAGGGGGCCCCACTTCCTCATGAGAGTGCTGGCTGCCACTTTAGGGGAAGAGGCGGTCACAGCAAAATGAATGTCAGTCCCTGGGCCTTTGGTCCCCAGTCCCTGCAGAGAGGGGCGGGTGAGGGCTGGCCAGAGCCACCTCTAAGGGTGACCGCAGGCAGGACGAGAAGAGCGCGGTGTCGTGCACTGCTGCGAGTGACCAGACGTCTGGTTCAGTTTGCAAGGACGTTCGGGGACTGAGACAGCCCTGCCTCTACTTCCTGCTGAGACACATTGCTGGTCTGTCTCTGAGGCCCTCATTAGATGCCGAGCGGCCACTCCAAAGTCTCTTTCTCTTTTTACAGAACAGAGAACAACTGGAGACTTGTTTTCTAAAGAAGAAAGCTTGGTGTTGGAGGACGTCTCAAGCCCCTGAGAGGAGAAAGAGGCCGCGCAGAGCCGGGCCTCAGGCACCCTTCCCGCCACCCCTGTGGCTAGAGTGTCACATTCACTTCAGCTGGACCTAGCAGGCCTACGGGCCTTGCAGCTGAACTGACCCTGGGCTTCCAGGGAGACCCAGGAGGACTGAAGATCGCAGTTCTACTGGAGACTCAGGGAGCGTTGTCCACCTGTGAGTGGCAGATCACCCAGGAGTGGCTCTCAGGATCCCAGCAGGTGCTTCCTCCTTGTAAACTGTTCCAGGAGGAAGAAGACGAAATAACACCCAGAATAACCTCCTGTGGGGCTTTTTGAGTACAGAGCACCTGTGGCCGGGGGCCGGGGGCCAGGGGGGCTAGGGCATGTTCTCTGCTCTCTGTTTTTTTTTTTTTTTTTTTCCCAGAACACTTTACTTTTTGGCACTGGGGAGTTGAACCCAAGGGTGCTCTACCACTGAGCTATACCTCCAGCCTTTTAAAAATTTTTTTACAGGGTCCCATTAAGTTGCCCGATTCGACCTTAAACTTGCGATCCTCCTGCCTCAGCCTCTGGAGTCCCTGGGAGGACTGGCGTGCAACGTTGCACCTGGCATGAGCCGTTTCTTGAGCTCAAGAGATTGAGCAGAAGGAAGGGTCTGTTTCAAGCTCAGCCGTTGGCCTTTGGTCAGCTGCAGGTCAATTTCATAGGTATTTCAGGGGAAAGTGACCTGGGTCATGTGTTGTCACAGTGAAGGACCATGGTGACACAGTGGTAGCATGGTAATCCCGGGGTAAATCTGCTTCACAGTCAGGCCTTAGTGCTGCTTAGATGCTACTGGGCCAGTCGTTTTGCATCCTGTTTGTCAACTGAAGTCACTTTTCCTGATTCTTCCTTTGGTGGTCCCAGCATTTATGTCCATTGAAAATGCTGCTGTGGGTGTGGGCAGGGCCCAGCACCGGGGGGACATTGCTCGAGTCACTGTTTCTCCTTTTTTGTCTTTTTGAGGTTTATCGATTCTGGCGTGGTTCATAAGACTGTGCTTTAAGCAAACTTAAAAAAAAAAGTGCCTTGGTACATTTTGGAGCTGTTCATTTGATGCACTTTCATTTTAGGAAGGCAGTCGCAGCTCTGCTTTCTGGTATCTGGGGCAACAAAGATGTGACTGTATCAGAAATAGTATTTGTTTTTATGAAAATATATCCCTCGTGCCTGTTGATGGCTCACTGATGGAACCAGCGACCTGCGCTTTTGCCCGTCCTCTCCCCGGCCTTGGCCCAGCTGGGTCAAGCACCTTTCCCCTCTCCCGGGAAACACATGCCACCCCTTCCTCTGCTTCCCTCACCTCCCACCCGCATCCGCAGCGCAGTGTGTAAACACCACCATGAGGGGTCTGCTGCTTTATGTTGTCAAAGGAGGGATTGTTGTCACAATCGACGGTCTCTAAAAGTGATCAAAGCAAGTCCACTTCCTTACCTGGGAAAACCACAGAGATTGTGGCTTTTCAGTACATCAAATCCGCGGCGACGTTGGTTGTCCCTGTATCTTTGGATTTTGCAAAAGGAAACTGGAATCCGGCGAGTCGTATTAGGAGCCCGTTGAGAAAGTGAACCAAGCAGCAGGTGAAAACCACCCAGAAGGAGGTGGTGTAGCTCTCCCGCTGCGTTCTGTAGGCGTATGTCCCTTCGGCATAATTTGCAATTTTTTCAGAGAGGTGGTGGATTTTCACTTCAGAGGCAAATAAGATCATGACGAGACAGCCACAGGAGCCTGCGACAGAAGGGACAGACACACGTTGGACAGAGAGCCCCTGCATGCAGGGGACAGAGAAGAGGGTCAATGAGCCAAGCAGGGACACTTTCCACCATCATCCTCACCCTCTTCCTTCCACAAGCATCTGGATCATTGCAAATCTGAGATCAGCAGCCTGATCCTCTAGCCCACAGGTGGTGGTGCTGGTGACAGGCCCGGGCTTCCCCTTAGAAGGGTTACCATGACCCCTCCAGCTCCAAACTGGCCACAGCAGCCAGAGGAGCACCTGCCTGTCACTTCCCTGTCACTCATTGGTAGCTGTGGGTGAGATTCGGTTGGCAGGGCACATCTTCTTTTGTTTGTTGCTGGATTCCAGGTTTTATCTGGGCTCATGGCTGTCTTGAATTAAAATCTTATGTGGTTGAGATGAGGGTGACTGAGATGTAGGGCTGGAAAGTTTTCTTGAAGCGTAAGATATAAGGGACCTACTCTGTCTTCCCCACTTGCTCTTCCCTGTAATTGAAATATGGACGCAACAGTTGGAGCACCAGCAGACATTTTGGACCAGGTGGCCTCAGAATGGAAAAACAAGAAAGGAAGAATATGGACCCCAGACATCTAAAGCTACCAGATCACCCCTGACCTTAACCTCTAGGCTTCCATGTGGGAGGAAAATAAACATTAGTTTAGTTCATTGTTATTATCTCCCTGTCACTCATTGATAGCCTAATCCAACCTCAATGCAAGTGTGGTCTGGGTAAGATCTCTGTAGGGTGGGGTGTCCCACACTGTGTAGAGCCTGGAAACCTGGAGGGGTGGTCTCCCCTGAGTGGGAAGGACAGGAGACCCTCGATGGCTGGTCTTCTCCAGGGGCAGAAGCAGGTGGGAGCAGGGTGGATGGCCAGGCCCCCACAGGGCTTCCACGGGTACTGCTGTACCCCGGGTTGCCGGGAAGAGAGTGCAGACTATAGGACACTGGCCAAGATGGGTTTCTGACTCAGGTTAAGCCAACTTTCATTTACTGCGTAAAGTGGGCAATTTGAACCCCGAGTGTCAGTTTCCTGGTCCATTCCAGGTGGTTAGCACAGTGTGCGTGACTGGCGTGTGGCCCTGGGACAGGAGTGCTCACCATGACCCCTCACCCACCCCGCCCACTCCAGGAGCACTTGAGTCTGCCAAGGTGGACTCCCACTGTGTACCCAGTGCCTCGGGCCCCAGGTACCCTGCCCTTCAGCTCACATTCTGTGAGAAAGGCAGACGCTTTGCCTTTTTCAACTACAGCTGATGCCACCACCCTGGGAGCAGGGCGTGTGGCTGCAGCTCCCAACCGTTAATTCACTCATTAATTTCTTCCATCACAGGCCAAGGTCAGGAGGGTGGTGGAGACTTAGAAAATTCAAGAAGAGACTCGTGGTTTCTGTGCTTGCAGAAGATGATTGTCAAAGGCAGCTATGGTGTCCCCAGAGCTCAGCTGCAAGGTCTGGAGGAGAAAGCCTGGGCCGTGCCCTTAGCTTAATCAGAGAGTCAATCCTGGTACGAAGGCAGGTGGGTGTGGCTGGAGGAAGCGGCTCACGGGGCACCTGGCTGCAGGGCCCATATTTGTATCCAGCAAGCGGAGACCCCTCTCTGCTGCCTGGTCACTATGGGAACCGCTTCCCTCTGCCATACTCTCCTACCATAATGTTCAGCCTCCCCCTGGAGCCCAGGGAATGGAGCCAGCCACTTGTGGACCAAGACCTCTGAAACCAGAAAGCCCTAAATAATCTTTTCCTCCTCTACAATTCTGGTCGGGTCTTTCAGTCGCAGCAGTGAAAAAGTTGACCAAAAAACAGTGGCCAAGCCAGGAACGCAAAACACCTGGAAAACTAGCCACACGGTATGGTGCAGGGGTTGGTGTCATTACCAAGAGGCGGGCAGAACCAGCACTAGCACCAGGATGCTGCCTGAGAGGTGACCAGAAGGAGCCACAGGAGTTGGCCTTGCAGAGAGAGATGGCCCCATGGAGGACAGGGCAGGGCAGGGCAGGGCAGGGCAGGACAGGGCAGGCACAGTAGTGCTCATGCCAGGGTTGGCCCCATGTCTTTCCTCAAGGTCAGGGTTGTGTGAGGATGGACAGAAAAGCTGATCTTACTTTCTTTTTCCTTAGGGTTCCATCTGGGACCGCATCTGGGACCGGTGCATCAACTTGGTCACCGCCCTGCAACACCCCAGCAGTCAAATGATGCGATGTCCTTAAAACCTCCCTTTTCCTCAGTAAGATTTGTCAGCCTAACTATTTTTGTATTCCAGGCTTCAAACCAAAGCTCTCCCTTGCAGAACCATACTCTTCCTTTATTGTCAGATCCCAACAGAAAGGCCACCGCGCTGTGCTCTCTTTATCTTTTATTTGAAAATTGTGGTGAAAAGCCGCTGCTTTTACCCTAAGAGCTCCCTTTGTCTGCGGAGATGGGGATTTCAGACGCAGCCAGCACTGTTTCCCTAGTGTCTGAAAGGGAAATTCAGGCTCGGTTTCCTTTTCACGTTGTTAAATATTTTAAAGGTTCTACTTTGTTAAGGAGACAGCGTTGTGAGCCTGCATTTCAAAGTCCTCAGGTGGAAGTCACTGGTCACGTCTGGGACTCAGAGCCTTTGGCTGTGACTGGCCTGTGAGGTGAGGAGGCCCAAGACGGAGCACTGGTCCAGGAGATCCGAGATGGGCTGGGACTCCGCTCTGGACCCGGGTCGACCCTGAGGTCACTCTTGTCGCCTCAGAGGCAGAGGAGGGCAAGCAGGGCAGGCCTCTGACGCCCTGTCCATGGCTGCCCAGAGACCCCAGGGAAAGCGAGCTCCGTGCGGATTTGGGATATTTTCCCTCTTCTCTGTCCACTCCATAAAAGGGCCATGGGATCAAGGAAAACTGTGACTTTCAGATGAAAAGATGCACATGGAGACTCTGAGTGCCCGCTGCAGGGGACATGGGCGGTGGGTGACGGCGAGAACAGGGCTTTGCACATTTCCAGCCCTCAGACTCGGCAAGAGGGCTCCTGCGTGGGTCCCACACTCAGGGGGCTGCTCTGCTCCTCCGCTAGAGAGGTCTCCCCTGCCCCCACAGGGTGAGAACTCCTCTAGGTCGGTAGGACATGGCCCTCTGGAGAGCTTGAGCTGCACAGACCACGCTCCTGGGACCCTGGGCTCGGTTCCCCCAGAGCCCCGAGCCCATTCCAGGGTTGGCATGGAGCCTCCCCTGGGTCAAGCCCTCCCTCCCGAGGGCAGGGGAAGGTGCTGCACTTGGCTAAGGACTCAGGTGGCCAAGGAGTCGCTGTTGGAAGGGAGTGAGTGCCTGGGGCTTGGCTGAGCTGTGGAATGTCCGCACATGGGCTCCGGGCCCTTCACCTGGACAGGCCAGGCAGGGGTGAGCGTGGACAGTGCCGAGGCCGGCTCAGCTCAGCATTCCCAGGCTCGAGAATTCCTTGCATCTAGCCTTCCGTCTCCTTCTGGAGGGGTGTTTCTCAAGGTAGAAGGAGAGAGAACCCTTTACAGTTGGTTAGCTTGAAACCTTTAAAAGCTTAGACACTCGGGACGTGGGTCTTCTTTTGCACTGTTTCCTGCAGCCTCTCGAATGTCAGGACTGGCCTGTGCTTCTCTCCCTTCCCTTGTTATCTGTGTATGTCAGGAGCCCGACTCAGCTTCCCAAACCAGCACTTTGGGAAGGCTACTGGGCCTTGCTTCAGCTAGAGCTGGGAGCAGACCAGGTTACAAGGCCACGTACACTGCCCAGAGTCGCACCCAACGACCCGCAGCGTTTCCCCATCCTCTGGTTTCTCCACCATCTGGCTGGTGCTTGTAGCTGGTCCTCCCAGCCCCCTCGAATGGCGCTGATTACTGAGTTAATTCCTGACTAATGGGACTGCTGAGTCACAGGGCTGTCACACTGTGAGTGCCCAGGCAATTACCAAACACTGGAGGTCTGCTAGGCACTGCACCCGGAAGGCCCCTGGCAGCTGCCTGGGTCCATGGTACCGGGCGCCTGCCCTTGCAGCCCTTGCACACGGGTACTGGGTCCCAACAGTGAGACAGCTGCTCCTTGATCCCTGAGTGTGACTGGGCTTTCTGGGTGGGGACAGTCTGCCAGGCTCACTGGGGTCCTGGGATGCTGTGGCCCAGGCCCTCTGGGGGCCTCTGAGATTCTATCCTATCATCACTAAATTCATATTTGGAAAATCATTAGCATTCCAATTCCTCTTGAAGTCATGACCAATATTTCCAGAGTGAGAAGACATCACCTTTCAACTCTGACAGATGACAGACTAAGAGGCATTCCATTTCCAAGACAATGTGGTAAGCTGATCATCGGCTTCTTTAAGGACCCCCAAGAGATGACAGAAAGGGTACAGCTCTGCAGGTATAAGTGCTGATTTCCTGGAAAATTACACAATCTCTCTAGAAAGCCTGTAATCATAGGTGAGCAGGGTGAAGTAGCCTTCCCAGGGGAAGTGGGTCCAGCTCCGCCTGCCTTCAGAGAGCATTGGTCCATCCAGAAAGGGCAGGTAGTGGCGGGCAGTTAAGCCAGTCAGTACTGACCAGGAGGCGAGTGCTTTGGCCACGTACTTCCACAGCACAGAGCGGGGAGAGGAGGAGCCTCGCTGAGGGGCACTCTTCCTCCTGGTCCCCTGCTCTAGACTGTCCAAGAGCCCACACTAACCTAAAATTTCTGAAAGCCTTGTTAAGGAGAAGGGCAACTAACAAAGAAGAAATGGTTTCAAATCTCCATCTAATTTGAATGGATTTTTAGAAAAGAAGAATGTCCATTGTTCCCAGGAGCAGGGCAGTGTCAAAGGTTTCTTTGGAGGATACAGTGAAGACCTGGGGTGGACTCCTAGTGACACAAAGGGGAAGGCAGCTTTTGGAACAGGGCAAGCCTCTCGCAACCATGGCAGGCAGAGACCGGGCATCTCCTTGCACAAGATCGTGGCTGGGCCCTGGCAAAGCCAGGCAAACCCGGCACTGCCATTGCAGCTCAGCCTGAGTGACCGGAACCACAGTGCTCTCTTGACACTGCAGCTTCACGGCGGCCACGGGTGTGGAAGGGGACTCCTTTCCCTGGCTCATGGCTGACATTACCCCTCCATTCCTTCTGAGCCTCTTTTCAAAGGTCTGTGCTGCGACAGGTAGGACACTCTCGTTGCTGGCTTTTCCGTGCCTGGACATCCCTGACCATCCCTCTCAGACTCCTGAACAACAGCTCCTTCCTAAGGACTGAAGTGGAAGTAAGATGTAGGCTTTTCCCACTACCAATTGCAGGACAATGTCCCTTGGGTGAGTTGGGCACACCACAGAGGACAGGGTATGGTGGATTCTGAAACTGACACAGGATAGGAACATCCGTCTGTTTTGGGACTGTTTTTCATTTTCCTGTCTTTGTGCTATGTATATGACTGTGCCATAGCTGTACTGACCAAAATCAGGCCGTACCAAGGGCACCCCCTCTAAAGACAGGCAGCAATTTTATGTGTTTGCCTTGCTTGATAGAACTCATAACAGGAGGCCAGAATTTGTCCAGATTTTCGTGGTTTTCACTGTCCCCCGAAGGCCTGAGCCATCTCACGCCATCCTTGGAGAATACTCATTGAACTACCATGTTCTGCCACCAACCCATGGAAGACTCCCCACTGCAGGTCCAGCTGAGACTTTGACACCAACCAACTGGGAAGCTTTGAGAAGGTGCAGACAAAGGCACACACTCAGTCCCCGCCCCATGCTGCTTTCCCCAGCCGCCCACCCTGTCTACTCTCAAAGGTGACCACCTTTGACCAAACCCACTGGTGACCAGTACTTCTGAACCACATCCCTCTGGCTCTGCCCAGGCTGTTCTGCTAGAGGTTCACCCTCCCTATGTGGCGGCACCCGTTCCCACCGCTCCACATGACATCTACCTCCCAACAACGCCTGGTTTTTGTCTTTCATCTTGACCTCTTCTCTGGGCTCTGGACTCAGAGCTGACCGTCTTCTCGACAGCTGCCCTTGGCCATCTCACGGCATCTCAGGCTCTGCATGTCCCAGGGAGAACATCTGATTTCTATCGAAGCTCATGTCTCTGCACTGTGCTTATGCTGAGCCTGTTCCTCCCTTGTCCCATCCATCCTGGTCAGTGCCACCACTATCTACTGAGCCAGCTACCTGAAAACTCTTTTAGGTCCACTTTCAGGATGTTTTTAGAATCCCTTCATCTTTCTCCATTTCTGACACAGTAGCATCGGCTTCTACCAGACATTGTTTGAAGAGACAAGTTACCTATCATATATCTTCGTCATGCCTCAAGATGTCAGGGCCCTGTCCAGCAGGGAAGTGGACATCTGAAGGCATGTTCCTAGCGTGACTTTGGCACAAAGAAAGGGGGAGCTTAGGGAACATGGGGGGCGGGGAGAGTGGGAGGAGGAAGAGAGAAGGCAGCAGCTTTCTTCTGCTGGCTGAGCAAGGCCACCTGGGCCACCCTGAAGAGACAAAGAGGGAGTGCTACAGTCTAGAAGTGAGGTGTCCCCAAAGCTCCCATGTGGGCATGCAGGAAGCTTAGAGTGGAATGACTGGCTCTGAAGCCTTAACCTCATGAGTGCATTTATCCTCTATAGGGATCACCTGGGTGGTGACTATAGGCAGGTAGGATGTGGCTGGAGGAGGTGGGTCCTGGGGGTGACTCGGTGGCATCTATTTTGTTCTTGGTGAGCAGAGCTCTCTCTCTCTTGCTTCCTGACCTGCTTTTCTCCACCACACCCTTTGGCCATGATGTTGGCCTTTCTCTGGGGCCCAAAGCCATGCGGTCGGCTGGCCATGGACTGAGATTTCTGAAACCATGAACCCCAAATAATCTTTTCCTCCTCCAAAATTGTTCTTGTCAGGTCTTTTGGTCACAACAACAAAAAACACTGATGAAAGCAAGGAGGAAGCCCCATTGAACACGGCCGTATTCACACCTCAGATAAGGCCCCTAATGTCCTGGCCTGCAGGGTGTGACCGTCCACTCACAACTGGAGGTCAGGTGAGTGCTGTGAAGTTCCGCCCTTCTGCAGTGAGGTGTGAAGCTGGGACGTGTGACATCATGACTTCAGGTGAACACTTCCCAGCACCGGGCTTCTGGGGGCTGTATATGGACTTAAGGGGAAGGAGGTGCTCTGTGCTCCAGGAGTCACAAGCCGTTGGTCCACCTGACCCTCAGGCACATTTGGTGGCCATGCACAGTCTTTCCAAACGTACTGGAAACTTCGGTATTTAGAAATAAGTTGGGAAGGCTGGAAGAGCCCTGCAGCCTGAAACCCCAGGCTTCACCCTCGGCAGGTAGCAGAGCTGAGACGGCTCCTCCCTCTGGGCTCTCCTGTCTCCCACCGTGACTCCCACTCCTACTGAGCACCTGCTTTGCCTTTCCAGCTCCAGATCATGAGACACGGTGAGCACAGGGCTGGTGGTTCCCGCCTGCACCCCTGCACCCAGTTCTCCTGGCATCAGACTTTGCCAAAAGCAAAGACCTAAAATTGTGCATCTCCAAGGCATCTTGCTGCTCAGTGCTGCTAGTCGGTTCTGATCAACCACCAGAACTGTCCAGTAGCCTGTCTCCCAGGGGCGGTTGGGCGGTTCACCCTGATGCTGGAGCGCTGCGTGGCTGTGCCGTGGACAAGCTGTGGCCTCTCTGCTTCAGCCAGCTTGGCTCTACTCTTCTCTGGACACCAGATCCACCCTCCCCAGACCAGTCCCACCTGTCAGCTGCTTCCAGTTAGACTCTGGGTGACGTGAGCACCAGGGAGAGGGGAGACGGAGAGGAAAGGAGAGCCCCCTCCATCTGCTCACAGTTCTGCATGGTGCCCCAGGAACAGGACCGTCCCTGGCCTCCAACCCTGGGGAGTAGCCCAATGCTCCCACCTGGATTTGCCTCCTGGCCACACCAGGGGTCCACGCCTCTTCTGCCCTGGCTGCAAACCCTGGATGTCCTTGGAGATACGGCATCACGTTCCTGGTCTCACTGCCTCTGGGACCTGCACTGTCTAGTGGCTCAGGGAACCTCTCCTTCTGGACTTAGCTTTTCAAGTCAACAAACATCAAATTGTTCTCTGTGAGAGCTTCATGCTGGGGGCGTCTGCCATAGACAGAAAGATGAGCAGGCCTTAGACTCTGCCCTCATCGGGAAATCGCCAACTGTACCTCTTCACACTGCTCTGTGCTTGTGACAGACATGAGAAACCTGTGCAGACTCCCCCTGGAGAGACTCTGCTTTGAATAGGTGAATATGAATGGGTGAGGCTAAGAGGTGACACTGCATGCTAAGGTGAACCAGCCCTGGGGACTGCAGAGCTTGGCCTCCTAGACGGGACCCATGCAGGTCTGTGGCTGGGGTTGCACCCTGGGCAAAGGGAGTAGCGTCAGGATGAGCAGGGGCCTCGTGCCCGCCGACTAGTGACTGCAGTCAAGGGCAACCTCAGGGAGGAAGGACCCGTCCACCAGGGGTTGTTGGCTGATGTGAGTGGTCATCGCTGTATGACATCAGCAATGAAATTAGTTCCTTCTGGAGAATATGGTCAAGTGCTGAACCGTTTTGCAAGTTTAGACTGGGGTAAAATCAGAGCTCTCCTATGGAAGAAAAGCCACATATGAACTAGGTATCTTATTTCCGTTTTCTCATCTCCTTCTCCTCCTCACTAATATGCTGTAAGCATGCTGTGGCGCGGCCTGCACCTTCTATTCACCAGCTCTGGAGATGTAGTAGCACATGTTTATCAGGGAGCGAATTTCCGGGTCTGGAGTTCCTCCCTGCCCAGGTGCCCCTGACATCAGGCTGTGGCAACGCATGTGCGGGGAGACACCAGCCCCTTACCCTTTTGGATGGCATTTATTCATTCTTCGGATTTTGAATAAATAAAAGCACATCATGGAATAGTTAGAAATAGTGACAACTGTGAGCAAAAATAAAAACCACACCAATCAATTAGACTGTCCCCTCCCACCCGGGCATACACAAGGAGGCCCCATGAACATAGCAAGAGATGGGCAATACACACAGACATATATGAAGTTCAGTGTGCATTTTTTTATATGTTCATCTCTCAATTATATATACACAGTCAAACTGGGCTTACAATGTTTATATGTTTATAAAATCTTTCTTTTTTTTTTTTTACTTAACATTTAAAATGACTTTATTTTATTTATTTATTTTCATGTGGAGCTGAGGATGGAACCGGTGCCTGGTATGTGTGAGGCAACGCTCCACCATTGAGCCCCAGCCCAGCCCTTACTTAACATTTTAATACTAGCATTTATTCTCTTGATCATATCTTCAAACTTATGATGACGGCATCACAGTCATTCATACAGACTTCTGCAATGTCTCCACTGAACTCCACAGTGTTGGACAATGTTTTAGTTGACCTTTTGTGAACAGAACACCCAAGAAGAACAGCGCTGGGGCTCAGGTTTCTGGGTCTCCATCCACTGCTCTGGGCCTGCATGAGGCAGAGTGTCTGGTGGCAGGGCCCAGGGAGGACAGCTGCCAGCTCCTGGAGGGTCAGGAAGTAGAGGTGGGGGAAGGGGCCGGAGGGAAGATTCCCCCTCAGGCCTCAGGGACCCTCCCTCCTCCAGCCCTGCCTACAGTTACTGCCCAATCTGCCCTTCAAATCAGGATGGACCAATTAGGTCACAGTCTTATCCTCTAATTATTTTGCTTCTGAATAGTCAGGCATTAACAGGAGACTGAGGGATGCCTCAGAGCCGACCATAACACATGCTTCTACCACATTTGCTGTCATGGATCACAAGACAGTGAACATCCACATGTATATAACTTTATACCTTTTGACACATTGAAAAGCATATTTGCATTTGGAGGTAGGATTTTTTATTTACCTGAAATGAAACTCAGAAGATACAACCCAAGGGGCCCATGCAGGGTCTCAAAGGGTTTGCCAAAAGCATTGTACATGAAGAGGGCAGTCCCCGCCATGGTCACAACCGTCAGGATCGTGGAGAAGAGAATGACATTGACATGGATGCTCACTGGGATGGCTTTGAGCAAGTCTGGGAAAACTGAAGGCAAACCAAGAATTAGAATTCCATGATTGGTATTCTGCAAGTGTAAGCTTAGAAGTTAAATCCCTTTCCAGGCGCGGTGGCACACGCCTGTCATCCTGGTACCTTGGGAGGCTGAGGCAGGAGGATCTCGAGCTCGAAGCCAGCCTCAGCAAAAGTGAGGTGCTAAGCAGCTCAGTGAGACCCTGTCTCTAAATAAAATACAAAATAGGGCTGGGGATGTTACTCAATGGTTAGTGCCCTGAGGTTCAATTCCTGGAACAAAAAATAATAATAATAATAATTAAATTAAATCCCTCTTCTTTTTTATAAATTTTTTGAGCATTTCTAATATCACTAAAATCTTGTTAATGAGTATGTTCTTACTAATTTATGAGGAGTTTACAAGAAGATTTAAAGACAGCCCCATTGTATTGAATTCACCTGTAAAAACTGGCAAAGGGGAGATTTGAGGGAGTCTTTTTTTCTGTGCTTGGTCATATGTAATTGCTTAAAGAAATTAAGTGCTGGCTTTATAAATCAAAACCATATCGTTTGATGACCAAACTTTTAATGACATTCCTCAGTAATAATTTTTTAAAATCTCCCTTAACTTGTAATGACATTTTATGTTTGGGGATATTTGGGGGAATTCAAATTATCAGGAGGTTTTTATATTTTCTTTGTTATGAAAAAATTAAAAAATTGGTTCCTAGCCCACACCAAGATTAAAGAATGGGGTATTTTCAGTCAACTTCAATATTTTGATGTAGCACAAAGCTGTGGGAAAATAATTTCTGGTGCTACAAGAAATATTTTCCATTTAGAAACCACGCCAAATCTATTTCTAGACTTTGTGTTCAGGGCAAGTTTTTCTTGTCTGCAGAGGAAATGAAATATCTTATAAATGTACGACTTCCTTTATCGGGTGAGGGATCAGTATGCTTGCCATCAGCAAAACTGGCAGATAATCTGGGGAAGGTCAGTTTATTTTGGTTTTACAACCATTCATTAAATGGTTAATTTATTGAGCACCTACTAAATGCCAGGCACTGTTCTAGGTCTTGGAAGTGGAGGCTTAGAACAAGATAGACAAGGTCCCTGTTGTCTCACAGTGCTTATTACCTAGTGAGAGTTAGCAAGCAAACAAATGTGCAGGTGATATCTATAGAGCATGAAAATGCATACACAGCAAATTCACTTCCAGGAGTCTATCCTACGAACATTTTTGCATGTGAATCCAATGAAGTATTACAAAGGTAATCATTGCAGCATTTTTTGTAATAACAAAATTTTGGAAATACTTCACATGACCAGCAAAGGATTCTTAGTCCGTCACCATGAGTGAAGCACATCAGTAAGAACAGATTGGGATTATCATCAAAATGTGGTGTTAGACGGAAAAACAGACCAAACAAATAAAAGAAAATGTACATCACTCTGCCATTTGGAGAAAACCCCCGGGGGAACGTACATGATGACAAATAAGTATTCAAGCACTCATCTGATTTAGTTCTCCCAACGACCCCATGAGACAGGTACTGTCGTCAACTCAAGGCACAGGAATTATGTTCTGTGCCCAAGACTTATGCTCAGTAAGTTCAGAGCAGGGTTTGAACTCACCTCCTCCCTCCTGCCCCCACTACATCAGCCTCAGGGGCTGTTGTGTGTACTGAACCTCAGGATTTCCAGAAGCCACTCCCCACACTGGTAACCTGGCTTCTGGGGAGAGAGACAAGGGGCATTTCACGATGTACCTGTCTTGTGCTGTTTGGGGGAGGAAAGGGTTGACATTGCTGCAAACATTATCTATTCATACTTTTTTAATAATTAAAATTTTTAAAACCTGTGACTGTCATAGATTAAAAGAAACTTAAGAGGCATGTTGACCAAATACCATGTGTGCAGATGGTGGTTGTGGTTTGTGACTCGAACCAGACACATATAAAGAGACAATTTTGATACAACTATGGACAACTGAATAGGGACTGGGTATTAGATGATATTTCATAGTTAATGTTGATTTTATTGATGCTATTAATGGTTTGTAGTTGTGGTTTTTCTAAAGTTCTTATGTTAGAAATGGGTTAGATGATGGATGGATGGACGGATGGTTGGACGGATGGATGGATGGATGGAGATAAAATCAAGTGCGTCCTCGGCTCTACATGGAGGCTGGGGCAGTGCAACGTGGAGGCTGAAGTTCAGGTGCTGAGCTGCTGGTGGCTGTGGCCGCCATGGTGCACGCTGCCTCTTTCCAGGGCATCACAGTCTTTTCTAACTGTGACTTTTTCTCTTTCCTCCCTTCCTTCCTTCCTGTTCTGGGACTGACCTCAGGACCCTGTGTGGCCCTGTGCCAGGCAAGCCACGGAGTCACACTGCCCTGGGCATCGCAGGCGTGAATTTCCAGGTGCAGCTGGTCTTGTGCCCAGAACCCTGTGCTCTGGCGCTGCCCACTACTGACTCAGTGCAACCAACCCAGCTGTGACCCTCACAGCTGGTCCTCACAGTTGGCCAGCTACAGACTTCGTTTTTACCAGCAGTTGTTCAAAACCGCTCACCTCCATCTCCCCACCTGTGGAAAATGTGGTGACCTCCCTGTGACAGTGTTTCAGTCAGCTGCTTCGCTGCAGTGAATAAATGACCCTCCAGAACAATTTTAGGGAAGAAAAGTCTATTTGATGGCCATGGTTTCAGAGTCTTAGTCCATGGACAGCAGGCTCCATTCCTGGGGCTCAAGGTGAAGCAGACGTCATGGTGCGAGAGTGTGGCAGAGGGAGGCAGCAAGAGAGGAGGGGGGGAGAGAGAGTGGGGGAGAGAAGGAAAGAGGGGAAGAGAGGGGGAGAGGGGACAGAGGGAGGAGGGGAGAGAAAGGGGGAGGGAGGGAGAGAGAGGGAGAGGGAGATGGAGAGAAGAAGAGATGGGGAGGGAGAGAAAGGGAGGAGGAGGGAGAGGGGGAAGGGAGAGAGGGGGAGGGAGAGAGGGAGGGGAACGAAGGAAAGGGGGAGGGAGAGGGAGGAAAAGAGGGGGAGAAAGAGAGGGAGAGGTGGGGAGAGAAGGAAAGGGAGGGAGAGGGGGAGGGGTGGAGAGGGAGGGAGGGGGGAGGGAGAGAGAGGGAGGAAGAGAGGAGGAGGGAGAGAAAGTGGAGGAGGGAGAGAGTGGAAGAAGGAGAGACATGGAGAGGGGGAGAGAGGGGGAGAGAGAGAGTGGGGGAAGGAGAGACAGGGAGAGGGACAGAGGGGGAGAGAAGGAAAGAGGAGGAGAGAGGGGAGGGGAGGGGAGAGACAGGGAGAAGGAGGGAGAGAAGGGGAGGGGAGAGGGGGAAGGGAGAGAGGGGGAAGGAAAGAGGGAGGGAGGGGAGAGAAGGAAAAAGGGGGAGAGAGAGAGGGAAGGGAGGCGGAGGGAGAGAGAAAGGGTCTCCACTGCCCGATACACAGCTGCACCCCAAAGCCTCCCCCCATCCACACCTGCCACCTCAGTTACCTCAGTCACCGTCAGGGATTAGTTAGCTGATCAGCTCAAGGCTCCCCAAACCCAGTCATTTCCCCCAGAACCCTCTCCAATTGTTGACAGGTGAGCACATCTGAGCCCTAGCAGAAAGCGTGGCGAGGAGAGGCCTCTCTAGGAATGAGGGGTTATGAATGGAAACATGTGGGTACAGGTGGCTCTGTCAGTGTCCTGGGCAGGGGAGCCGGGGCAGACACCAGTCCAGAGCCTTTAACCCCTGTGAGGCCTTTGGGATTCCCACTCGGGTCAGGAGATCACCCAGCGGGACACTGAGCCCCACTATCCCCCTCACCTTGGGTCAGGTTCCTCCTCCTCCTCCTCTTCTTGAAACCAGAAGTCCCTGCCCATGATGATAAACCAGGACTCTGGGACACTAGGGTGGCCCTCCCTGATTGAAGCCCAGAGCAGACAGTTCAGAGCCACATGGGAGGCTGCCCTGGGTGGGGACAGGCTCCAACTTGTGGAGGAGGCGGCCCTGCTTGGCCTTCTGCCCCTTCAGGGTTCATATTACAACACAGAAGGACATGGACTCCTGGGTCTGTGGCGGAGTGTCCCTAACCCGCAGGTCACTTCTGACCTCCAGATATGACTTGTGAAAGGGAGCTATTTGCTGGAACAGGCAGCCGGTGGCCTGTGGGGAACGTGGCTCTAGCCTGTGTGTTCTGACACTCTCTTCTGTTCCCTTATCACTGGTGTCCCACACTCTCCGTACCCTGGTCTCCTCCTCCTCCGACCACCCCAGTCACCCCTCTCTTCATTCTCACAAAACATCTTCAAAGAGCCATATATGAATAATTACACGAAGAATGAAATGACCACCAATAACCACAGAGCACTTGTTCTACTCCAGGTCCTTTACACGTATTGCATGAATGGACACATTCAACTCCTCCAGGATGAGTAAGGTATTATTTTTATCTTCAATCTATAGATTTTTTAAAATCAAGGCACAGAGAACTTAAGTAACTTGCCTGAAGTCACACAGTGATATTGCTGCCTTTGCTTTTATTCCTCCCACCCACCTCATTTTTAAGATTAAAGTTAACACAATGAAAAAAAAAATTCTTCCTTATTAGTTCTGTAGGTTTTAAACAATGCACAAAGTTGTGTAACCATCACCACAATCAAGATATAGAACAACCCCCACTCCAAAGACTTGCCCCAGTCCCACTTCTGCGCGTGTAACTGAAAGAATGTCCGGGTGCGTCCCAAAGCCATTGTGCCATTCACCTTCCCACCAGAGGCACAGGAGGGTCCCAGTTGTCCCACCTGACTCTCGGCTCTCGGCACTTGGCAGGTTGCTACAAATGGTGGCCTTCTAGTGGCTGTGTCGTTTATCTCACTACAGCTTTAATTTGCATTTCCCAAATGACGAATGAAGCTGAGCCTCTTTTGTGGGCTTATTTGAGTTACGTATACATGTCTGGTGCTGTGTCTGGTCATATCTTTTGTGTGATTTTCATTGGATTGTTCATTATTACTGAGTTCTGAGAAGTCTTTATGCATGCCGG